ACATAGGAGAAGATTGCTCATCTTTCTCCCACAGAGCCACTGGTGGATTTAAACTGCATGCCTTTGGGTTGGCAATACAATTCTTTTTATATTTTTTTCCTTTTTTAAATTAATTTTAATGAAATTTACAGAGACTTAGGGTTTCCAGTCATTCATTGTTGCAAATGCAACTCTTTTTAATAATATAAAAATAAAATCTAGAAAAATCTAAAAAGAAGAAAATATGGAATAATGTTTATAAAATATGAGTGATCGGTTCCTTAGTAATTTGTAATATAATACTAAGAAGTAATAAAATATTAATATGCTCACATAAAAATAACAGATTTCCCCACCACAAAAACAGTATTAATAAAGTTTAACACCCACTACTGCCACCATTGGCCATCAAGATTGTTCCAATGCAGTGAAATTCCATGTGTGTACAGTAGAATGCTGCTACACAGGGTTTTCAAAATTTTGAAAGATTTCCAGACCTTTCTTCTGAGGTGCCTCTGGGTGGATTCAAACCTTCGCCCTTTTAGGTAACAGTTAACTATCTGCAATGTTCAGGGACACTAGTAAAAAATCAGTAACTGGAAAAATCTTTTGTTTATATTTTAATTTACAGTCCATATCAAAGCCAAGCAAGCCTATAAATTAGAAGGAAAAAAGAAGACAGCAATCTAGTAGGTGAGACAGAGAAAGCATTTGAAAAGTTATAGAATACAGGAATGACTATTTAAACATACATAAACAGGTTCAATGATTTCACTACATGTGGGAAAAGCAAACTAAAACAAGACCCCATTGGTTTTGCTTATTAGTAGATCAACCCTAATGTGTTATAGATCACACAGGGGTATGAGAAATACTGATGGTCATTATGTTGTTGTTGTTGTAGTTTGCCATTGAGTCAGAACAGACCCATAGCTTATCCTCCGATGGGTTTTTACACTAGAGAAAATGTCCCATCTTTTTGCCATGGAGCAGTTGGTGGATTTGAACTGCATGCCTTTGGGGACTACAGTGCAGTTTCTTAGCATTAGACCACCATAGCTCCCTACTATCATCATTGATGGTCATGGAGAATGTACACTGGGTCAAGATCTGCAAAAAATCATTGGACAAAGTTCAGCAAAATTCCAGATGCCCATATTCTCAAGAATCAGAAAGTTTACATCTAAAAATTTATGCCGCTAATGAACCCACACAAAGGTAAAATTTTATGTATATAAATGACTATTCCTTCCAGCAAACTGTTTGTGATAGCTAAAGATTAGTAATATTGGAAATGTTCAAAACTGGGGCACTCTCCTTCATTATTATCAAGCCAGAACGGACTCATAGCTGAGCCTCCAGAGGGTTTTCAGAGACTGTAAATCACACAGGAAGTGATTACTCATCTTTCTTCTGCAGAGCAGCTGTTGAATTCAAACTGCCTGCCTTTGGATTGGCAACACAACTTCTTAACCACTAGGCCACCACAGCTCCCTAGTAGAGGTTAAGTAAAAATAGACTATCTACATTGTTGTTGTGGTTCTGTGCCGTCGAGTCGTTTGCGACTCATACCGACCCTATGCACAACAGCCCTAAACCCTGCTCTATCCTGCGCCAACCGCACTGCCTCTGACACAGCCATCCTGATTACCCCAGTCACTGAATCAATCCATCTCATAGAGGGTCTTCCCCTCCTGCGCTGTTCCTCCACCCTCCCAAGCATGATGTCCCTCTCCAAGGACCCGTCCCTCCTGACAACATGTCCAAAGTATGTCAGACGAAGCCCCAGAATCCTTGCCTCCAAGGAGTAGCTTGGTTTAATCCTCTCCAAGATGAATCTGTTTGTTTTCCTGGCAGTCCATGGTACATTCAGTACTCTTCTCCAGCACCACAGCTCAAAAGCATCAATTCTCCTTCTGTCCTTTCTAGTCATTGTCCAACTCTCTGATGCATAACAAGCAATTGCAAAGACCATGGCCTGTATCAGGCGCACCTTAGTCTCCAGAGAGACACCGTTGCTCCTGAGTACTTTAGAGAGGTCCCTAACAGCAGACTTTCCCATCGCGATATGCTTTTTGATTTCCTGACTGTTGGTGCCAAGAGTGTTGACTGTGGAGCCAAGCAAACTGAAGCTGTGAACAATCTCAATCTCTTCGCCATCCATCCTCTCAATCTCTTCGCCATCCATCCTGATGCTGCCAATTGGTCCAGTGGTGAGAATCTTTGTCTTCTTGACATTGAGCCTCAGTCCATAGAATTTCATTTTAAAGCACATGGTAAAAAAAAAAAAATCTATCTCCAAGATATTAGCTAAGTGAAAAAGTAGCAAGGTGTTTCTTAGGCTCCCATTTTTTAAAAAAAATATTGTATATGCTTTGACTATCTATGGATGGAGACATAAGAACTTTTAACAGTTGTGGTATCAAGGGAGTGAACTGAGGCTCTAGGAAACAAAGGTGAAAGGAGGACTATAGACATGTGTACCATTGCTTTTGTTTGCTGTTATTAGGTGAGGTCCAGTTGGAGAAATCTCACAGCAGGCGAAAACAGGTAGTAAACTGCATGGGAAGAGATTTTTTCCATGTTCTGCAGAGAAGCTCATGAATTCGAATGTAATGCCTTTGGGTTGACAGCTCAACTCCTTAGATGACCAGGGCTCTTTTTGAGTGATTACACACACACACACACACACACACACACACACACACACACACACACACATTGTTGTTTACTGTATGGACATATATACATATATAACAATATGTATATGTATATGTATATGTATATGTATATGTATATGTATATGTACAAAACAATTTGTAAAAACAAATTAACTCATATTTTTAAAAGAACAATGATGTGGTCAATTTAAAAGGGCTTTGAGAAACAGAGGGTTTTCTTCTTTTTCACTTTATTAGAGGTGTTTTTATAAACTTGCCAATCTGACATAACCATAAAAAGAATTAACAGGTTCAATCAAATCAACATCCGTTTAGCGTTTTCTCATTTGAGCTCATCAAGTCTTAAATGTGCAAATTTCCTGAGAGGGAAAATAATTTTGATTGGACTTAGGATCTGAAATGAGTTTTCCTTTTCAAAAACTGATTTCATCTGACGTTGTTAAACACTTCAATTGCTGTTAGGTCATCTGTAGCCTAATTAACACTAATTGATCTCTTGAATGGCAGGATTATTAATGTAGTTTAATTACTATTTAGAACATTTGGGTTTGGCCAACCTCTGAAGTTTCAAGTCTGGAATGGAAGGTGGGGATGTTCCAGGAGGGGAGTAGACATTTATTTTTCTCTGCTGAATTAAATGTCTGTTATTAATGTGCATCCTAACTACTGGCTGATCTCTCCCAGGAGGTGGCTTTGAAAGCTTTGACTGAGAACAACAACCAAAAAAACCTGCAAGCTATGCACAAATTTTAATCTTGTTGGAAAATAGGAGAGTCACATAATAATTGTCATCTGCTATCATGTAGAAAGTAATTGGTTAGATAACAACAGATATTTTTTCAGTAAAATGCCTGAGGGAATCTGTTCTTTTCCCCTCACCACCAAAACCAAGGTTTGGTCTGCCTTTCGCCCACCCTTGGTTGGCAGAAATTTGTTTCTATAATATTGAATTGCCTTTTAAAATGCCAAACCTTGCTCAACGTCATTTTTGACGATTTTTGACAAGTTTTGAAATGTATTTTAATTTTGTTTTATTTTTAAATATTTTATTTTATCTCTCTTATTTTTACCTATGTTGTTGTTATTTTTGTTGTGTACTGTCGAATCAGAACCCACCCAGAGCTAACCGTCCAATAGGTTTTCAGAGGCGGTTAATGAAACAGGAAGAGACTAGCCATCCTTCTCTCACAGAAAAGCTGGTGGATACAAACTGAGTGTCTTTGAGATTGCAACACAGCTCCTTATGACTAGACCACCGTTGTTTGTTGTTGTTGTTGTTATAGTGTACTGTAGAGTCCGAACGGACCCATAGCTGACCCTCCAGTGGGTTTTCAGAGGCAGATAATCACACAGGAGGAGATTATTCATCCTTCTCCCAAGGAGCAGCTAATGGCCTCGAACTGCGAGCCTTCGGGATTGTAGCGCAGCTTCTTGCCCCTAGGTCACTAGACCTTAGACCACCTATAGGCTTTTAAGTACACTTTTAAAAAACTTTTACATTCTAAAGTTCTCATAAATATATAATTTTTTCCTGTGCATTGTATTTTTACATCAATTACAGTTGATTAATGTCATTAACTTATTCCAATATCTAATCAAAACCTTACGGAAATCTGGTGGCACATATATAGTCCATAGTTGGACTGCTGAAGTCGGCGCTTTGCTTGAGGTTAAAATCCAACAGTGGGAGAAAGATGAGCAATCTCCTGCATGATTTACAGCCTGATAATCCACGGGAGGCCGAGCTATGAGCCCATTCTGACTCAATGGCAAGAAGTTTGAGTATAAAATCAAACCATGAATACACTACATATTGCCTTTCTGCTCCTTTCTGGGCGTCACTATGCCCCTTCTTGAGGTCCATAGGTAATAATGTAAATGGTTTGTGCTTGGCTGGGGACCAAAAGATTAGTTGTTCAAACACATCCAGTGGTACCACGGAAGAAAAGGGTGGTGAATTGCTGTAGTGAAGATTGCAGTGGGGAAAAAACCCAAAACCCACCATATAGAACAATTCTACGGTGGTAGCAAATGGGGTACGTAAAAGTTGGTCCTTTCCACACAAGACTACATGCCACTCTCAAATTCTCAAGTTACACGGAAGTGTAAAATAGGTTTCAGCGTTTCCTATTCATTGTCTGCCTTAAAACACTGCTCCTTTTATTACTGTTTCAGGAAACATTTTTACTGTGTTGGCTTAGCTAAAAGTTTACAAGCAGCTTTTTAAAAAAATAAGTTCTAAAATGGTTTTCCAATCCAAGCTCATTTCTTGCATAACCAAGCAAGCCTTCTCTTGCTCTTCTAGCAATGTCTGTTGTATTAATTCTTATGTGTTTACAGTTAAAGCTGGAGGAATGCGAATTTCAAAAAAACAAGAAATCGGAGTCTTGGAGAGACATACCAAAAAAACAGGATTAGAGAAAGCAAGGTAGGAACAGCTTAATTTCTTCTCTCCTTGTTCACCTTAGGAGTTTCAGTGGCTGTTTGCAGAAGTCAGAGAGAGGCCTTCCTATTTTAGTTCTAACCAAGATTTGCAATGCATGTGCTAGGCAAAAAGAGAGATGGTAGTCACGGGGGGTTGGAGACAGCCGGTAGTGAGCGCGGTGGGGTAATGATCAGCGGTGACAGGGCCTGAAGGTGGAAAGGACACTCTCCTTACAGGCTGAATGACTCTCTCACGACATCTCCACCCTCACCCCCACCATCTTCCTCCTCTCTGATGCTGTCCCTCTGCCCCCACCTGAAATAAAGGTTCCAGATGCATCCAAAATTGACTTACACTCTTATAGTCTATTTTCAGATCCGACTTTAAAATATAGTCCCTAGGCTTGCCCTGTTTTTATAATAGGCTTTCTGCAAAGCAAATTTCCTGAATTAAAAATAAATGTCTTTTTCTGTTTTCATCACTCAATTATTTAGAAACTAATGGCCACTATATTTGGCAGAGCAGAAAGTGCAGAGGGACACAGGGGAGCTGGTTTCTCCCTGGTCCTTTGGCCATAACCTTGACGCACTGCACTGAGAAGGGCTTAGCATGGCTCGATCCCTCCCTAAAATGTCCAGCCACTATATGTGCTATTCAAGGAAAGTGAGTGCTTTCGGAAACAGAATTATTTGGTCCAACCACTTCAATAAGGAAAATACGGAGACTATTAATTTTAAGATAGGGTTTTTTTTTCTATAATTATATTTTATTAATTTTCATAAACATTTACAGAGATTTTGGG